TTGGCCTGGGGAAGGTGTGTGAAGAGGGGCCCTGGAGAAGGGCAGCGAGGAGCTGATTCTGCCCTCTCACCCCGCAGGGAGATCTCCAGGTACATCTCCACCTTCTAGAAGGTTCTGCCCAAGGTCACTCCTTCCTCCTCTGAGCAGCCTTTGGTAAATAGACTTATTCATGTGCCAGGTGCCAACCATTATGGTGGCTCCTGGAAGGTGACGAGGAGCCCCTGGCCTGCCCAGCCCAGGGGAAGTGCCGGCCAGTGGCTGCTGGCATCTGCTGCTCTGTGGGAGGAGGGGGAGGCCAGGCATCCCGGCTATGTGGACCTCGCGGTCTCCGTGTCCCTGGGCCCTGGCATCTTGCTCCACAGGTCTGAGCCTGTCCCTCCTGGTGGGAGGGAATGAAGCCCCCAGAAGCCCACCAAGGTCACGGCTGTGGGAGGTGCTGGCCCAAGTCTGTCTGGAGGAAGTGACAATGGAGGTGTGAGGCCTGTACCTGGGGGGTCCTGGGGCTGACCTGAGCGTGGTGCAGATGAGGGGCTGGTTCGCATCAGGGGTCCCCCAGCCTGGGGCTGGCTTTGCCCCTCTCTGCTTGGAATTCTCTGCACAAGCCCCGCTCCTTGGGGTGCCCTGTTTACTTTTCCTGGTGGCACTGCCTGGACAGTGGCCTCCCAGCTGCTGCAGTCAATGGCCACTGCCTGGGTGGCCGGCACGGCAGATGCTGTTCTTCCTCCGTTCTGGAGGCCAGAGTTTCAAACCCAGGGCTCCAGGGCCAGCTCCCTGTGCGGGCTCCAGGGGAGGCTCCTTCCTGCCTCCCCCAGCCTCCAGCGCCTAGTGCCCCTCCGCTAAAGCCCGTCCCTCCAGCCCTGCCTCCATCTTCACGTGGCTTTTCTCCTGTCCCTGGAGTTCACTGTCCCCCAGTTGAGCCAGCCTGCCTGCTGGAGGTCCTTGGCAGAAGTACATCCATGCAGACCCCTCCCAGTAAGGTCACACTCCGTTTCCCGGGATCAGGATGGGGCCCACGTGTGCTTGCTGCTTGAAAACGTGTTGGATGAAATGCACTTTACCTGCAGCGTCCAGGTCTCTCCGCCTGTGAGAGCCTGGTGCTGAGCACACGGTCCTTAACACAGAGGGCCTGTGCGGGAAGCCCGGGCTGCAGCCAGCTCTCACACCTGAGCAGGCGTCTCAAACCACCTTTGTCTGGTGCACCCTCCTGGAAAGGTCGCCTTCAATGCCAGCCTTGTGAGTGAAGTTAATGGCCAAATAAATTCCAGGGGCCTCTGCGGCAGGTGCCTTGTCAGGAGACAGAGGTGGGTCATGGGGTGACACCACCTTCAGAGAGAGTGAGCCGGGGTTGACGAGCCAGGCCTCCATGCCCGCGGTGCCCGCGGCAGACATTTCAGGAAAGACTGGATGCCTGCTCAGGTCCCGCCCGTGTGCCAGGCGGGGTCACGCTCAGCTGCCACCCTCAGGAAGTCCAGGCAGCTGCCATATGGGAGGGATTCCTCGAGGGTGGCCTCCAGAATTCTCCAGACAGAAACAACAAACCAGCAGACAAACTCCCAGAAGAAGAAGAATCTTGAAGATGTCGAGACGACCGTGCACTCTATAGGAGGTGAGAGGCCAAGAGGGACCTGAAGACAATCACAGAGGGCAGGTGTGACCGTGGGCGCGGGGGCGTTGGAACACCCTGCTCGTTTCAAAATCAAAGTGAAAGAGGAAGGCGAGGAGAAGAGGGCTTGCCTCAGGAAGCCTCAAAGGAGGCGTGAGAGGGGCCGAGAAGCCAGTGGACTCACCTCCGCTCAGCAGAACCCGGGGAACACCAGCGGGCACGGAGGAAAACGGCTCAGGAAAGACGCTGGAAGGGGACGCGCTGCTCTTGCCTTCCCGTGTCTGACCAGCAGTCTCCACTAAACAAGGGCACGAACCCCGTAACCAGAAAGTCAGGGTGAACAGACGCAGACCTATTCACAGAGAAAACACCAACAATCTACAAAGAACGCGCCAACTTCGTCTGGATTGGTTTTGGTTTGGGTACTGGGGATTGAACCCAGGGGCACTCAACCCCTGAGCCACATCCCTGGCCATTTTTTTGTATTTTACTTAGACACAGGGTCTCACTGAGTTGCCTAAGTCCTTGCTAAGTTGCTGTGGCTGGCCTTGAACCCACCATCCTCCTGCCTCAGCCTCCAGAGTCGCTGGGATTCCAGGAGTGCTCCACCCACACACCAACTTCTCTAGTGCCATCAAAACGCTTAGGGAAAGGGCTCACAGGTCCATCACCGGCTCAGGAAAGGCACATGCAGCAGATGTGTGGCAGGCTGCATTGACTAATCACCATGCAAAACCCGTGCCCATCAAGGGGTGACCGGTCACAGCTGCGCTCTCTGGGGTCCACTCCAATGTCCTTGTTCCCCACCCCAAAACCTACATGGAGGGCACTCCCAAGCCTTGCCTTCTCCGGGTTGGACAGGGACCATGGTATTGGGATCTTAGAGATGGGGATTTTGGGGGGAAGACGGAGGCCAGAGTCCTACCTGCGGCTGTGGGTGCCGCGCCACCTGGAGAAGACTCCCCGGTCAGCACTCTTGGGAAACCCTGAGGTTCCTGGCCCCCAGGAGTTCTGTCCCGGATCAGCACTAGCCTAAAATCATGGGGTGCTTGTGGGAAAGACCCTGAGAGCTCACCCTGTCCTTTAGTGTCAACCACAGAGTCTCCTGGGGACTTGCCAGGTCAGGCCCTCCTGGTGCAAGCTTCAGCCTGACCTGCGTGCGCGGTGGACCTGAGGTCGGTTCTGGGCACCTCCCCTTGACCCCCCGGAGCCCTGTCCACCCTTCCCCACTCCTGGCCCAGGGAGCTGTGTCCCTGGCTCCCTTGACAGCTGGCTTTGGGTCAGAGCCATGCCCTCCAGGGTCACTCTCGCATCCACACAGCTGCCCTCTGCAGGTGACTGCCCTCCAGGCCCCTACTAATGACCTGAGTCAGGCGCACTTGCTTCTGCTCTCTGTGCCCTGCCCTCCTTTGGAACCCTGTTTCTCAAACTCTGGGACCCTGATTCATCCAGGTAGGTGGTGACGTCCTCATTTTATGGATGTGAAAACTGAGGGGCGTGCAGGTGAAGAAAGTTGTACAAGGTCACACATCAGAAAGGAAAGGACTGGAATTCCAATCTGGCCCACCCAGCTGCCCAGCTCTGCTTCTAGCAGGGGCCTGCCCCTTCCCTAAGCTGGGGGGCAGGTGGGGGGTGCAGCCCGCGCAGGGACCTCTTTAGTTTCAGTTAAAGGGGGAGATGCAGGAGAGACACCAAGAGCCACCAGAATTTTCCATCAGGTGGAACCGGGCTGGGTGGCCACCTTGGGGAGCAGTTGAAGTCGGTGGCAAATATTTGCTTAGAAGGGGCCACTCAATTGCAAGGACAAACAACACACATGTCATCTCCCACAGCACCTCCCTCTACAGATGAGGACGCTGAGGGCAGAGAGTGGCATGTCCTTCCCCAAAGCCACCCTCGACTCAGTGGTGGGTCTCATTGTATGGATTCTAGTCCCATCTGAAGCCAAGTCACTTGGCAGCAGGAAACCGTCTACACTGCACACCCACTGTCATGCCCTGGGGGCCATGCGAGTCCAGCGGCTTCCTTGTCACGGCCCGATGAGAACATGCTGTATGCCAAGTCCTGCCCCAGCCCCGTGCCACACTGCCCCCCGGACCCTGAATTTCACCAGGAAGGAGGTACTGTCCTGGTGGCCGTTGACAGAGAAACTCAGGAGACCTCCCAAGGCCCACGGTTAGCAGGCACCAGAGACCCTCTGCAGATGAGGACGGGGGCCATGTTGGCCGAAGGCAGAAGTGGTCCTCCAGCCTCCTGCTGCTAGGATTCCCTCCCAGGGCCCAGGGGATGAGGTCTCAGCCTTGTGCTCCAGGTCAGTTACAGGGGAGGCCAGGTGGCTCAGAGAGGCCAGGTGACTCATGCAGAGCCACACAGCAGCAGGTAGGGATCTGACTCAGCTCCAGGCCACGCTGCTGCCCATGTTAGTGTTAACCAGCTTGGCTCCTCAACAGACTCCCTGTCCTGCCCCAGCGCACAGTCATACGGAAGACTCAGGGTGGGGAGGTAGGAGAACAGGACTTTAAACCAGACTTGGCCCCGGGGTTCCTCACTCCAGGAGTTTCTTGTGACAAATTTGGGAAACAGCCTAGGATCTGAGGCCCGCAGCTGCTCCCTGGCCCGCGGTCAGTCGGCCACTGCAGTCCCCAAGGGATCAGGGTCCCCCCTCCCAGCACTCGCGGGGCGGGGCCAGGGATGCCGAGCGCCGCCCCGTGCGCATCCCCGCCCAGGGGCGGGCCCTCACCTGGGCGGGCAGGTAGGTAGCTACCTGGTAACCTGGACTGGCCCGGAGGCTCGGCGCACAGCGGGCGGCGGCTTCGCTGGGGCCCGGAGACGCAGGCAGGGGCGGCCGCCGGCCGACGCGAGGCCGTGGGGGACTCCTCCGCTCACCATGGCCGAGAGACGCTTCAGGTTCCTGCAGAAACTCGCCTTCTGGGGCCAGGGCCACCAGTACCAGGCGCTGGAGAGGGACGAGGTGGAAACCCTGGTGAGTCTGGGCGCCCCGACCCCGCACCCGCCCCAGTCCCCCTGCACTGCGCCCCGGGCTCTGGGCTCCTGGGGAGAGAAGCTGTCCCAGCAACAGCGCACACTGCGGCGACAGCCCATTTTGCGGATGAGAAATGGCCCAGAGCCAGGGACCCAGCAAGGAACCCAAGCCGGGTTTCTGTGATTTCAGAGAATTCACTTCCCCGTCTGCAGACCCATTCTGCTGGTGGGTTGTAAAAAGGCTACAGGAACCGGAGGGCAGGGGGATTAGAGGAATCTTTAAAAGGAAAAAAAAAGAAAAAGCCCAACTGTTGAGCAATAGTAGTAAAAACTAAAGTGACCTCGCGGCTTCTCTTCCTATATCATGAATGTGCTTTTAAAAATGTGTGCGCGGACTCTGAGCCTCCAGGGGCCCCTCAGACAGACCAGCAGGGTCCTAGGCCCCAGAGCTTCTCAGGGGGCCAATGGCCCAGCTGTCAAAGAAAGCCCTTCCTGCCACCAAACTCCCGAGAGGCCGGGGTCCACCCCTTCCCTTCGCAAGCAGAGCACCTTACAAGATCCAAGGGCTGAGTTTAACTGGCCAGTCGACACTGAAGCTTCTGGAAGTCCCTCCCTGAGCTTGCTCAGGAAAAGACCCTGCAGTGGCCCTCTCACTAGTGAAGAGAACCTCAAGGTTAAATTTAATTTTTAATAGAAAAAAAATCTGCTGAAAAATATTTGCGACATTTAATTTTTTTTCTCCCAAAGAATGCCAATAGTCAATACATTTTGGTTGCATGATCCTTAAATATGTGTTCATTTACAAAGAGTAGGTGGTAAATCAGTGTTGCCCAGAGAGACCTGGTGGTAGGGTAGTAAGGACTGCAGACGGCGGGACACAGTCACTCTTCTGTGATGAGGTGCGTGGGCATTGATAGGAACCGGTGTTGTGGCAGCTTGCCAAAATCATTTCCCAGCCACAACATTCTGTGGAAGGAGTTTGAAGTCATTTGCCAACACGGGTTGCCTTTCCTACTTTTCCTAATATTTTTTTCCCCCGTCTTTTGATTTTGGCATCTGGCTGGGTATTTTGCAAGAACTCCTGATATTAGCTGGCTGTGATCAGGTTGTAGAGGATACCCAGGAATTCAGGTACAGGGACAGTGTAACCCAAATGGAGATGCTGGGTTGACCTCTCTGCCAGGGGGACCTCATTCCTCCAAAGCTTTCCAGAAGGGTCCCCCAAGGCCAGACAGGCCTCCCACCCAGCTGTGGACCCAGGAGCCTGGGGTCAGGGGGTAATTCACAGTGTGGAGTCTCAGGGAGGCTGGGGAGGCACAAGGCCAGCTGAGGGGCAGGTGTGCTGTCTCCAGAGGTGCTAGCTCATGTGAACACAGGAAACCCCAATAAAGGGGAATGGGGAGGGCCATGAGGGAGGGAGCTGGGAGGCACTGTCCTGCCAGGTCACGGCTGCTCCTCAGCTCCCACACTTGTGCCCTCTGAACTCTCTTTCTCAAGAAAGTTTGGAAAAGAAGTGTTGTTTTCCAAGGTGATGCCAGTCACTGTGACTTATGAGCACCTGGCACACCACATCCTGGATGCCTCCGAGCTGCCCTACACCTCCCAGCACTTGGCTCCGCTGGAACAGGAGCTACCTCTGAGCACTGGCTGGGGCCCCTCGAGGGCCGCTGCCTGCAGGTGACGTTTATTGCAGGGTGTGTGGACACCGAGGCTCACAGGTGGGCCAGTTTTCATTCCCACTAAGTCTTGGCCAGTCTTGCCAGGCTCTGGGCTGCAGGTGTGCACAGAACAAAGTCCACTGGGGGGGCCAACCGTCTGCAGAGAAACCAAGAGCTGTTTAATTTCCGACCTGGTGGTCTTGGCTGCAAGGAGAATTTAACAGCAGAGAGACTGGACAGGGGACAGGTGGCCAAGACAGGGAAGGTCCCAAGACAGAGGCATCAGAGGCCGAATTTAAGCACCGTCCTCCTGACTCCAGAGACAGCTGCCCTGGCTACATTCAGGGAAATGAGAAGGAGGGGGTTTAAGAGACTCCTTGATTCTGTGAATGGAAAAAGCTTCTGTTTGCTGACGTTAAGGGAAGGAGAACGTTGGACCAGAAATTCCTGCTTCCGGGATGACACACGGTGCCAACTCTGGGGAAGCAGTTTCTCCCTCAGGGCTCCCGTCTCTTCCCCGAGGCAGGCTGTGCTGCCCTCCAGGCTGCTGAGCCCATTCATCCTCCTGGGCACTCCACAGCAGGCCTGAGTTCCAGCAGATGGACACCTGCCATGGCACCTGCTCTTCCAACCCAGATTCCCAGAACTTGCCCAGGGATGGGTGCTGAGAAGGATGCACATACTCCCTGCCCTCAGGGGATCATCCAGTGGGCAGGGTGGGTGCCGAGCCACAGGTTACAGTTGACCACAGTGACCGGTACCTAGGAGCTGTCAAGGAGAAGTGATGTTTAGGATGAGTAGAAGTGGGAGGTGGGAGGTGGCACGGCAGGTGGTGGAGAGTTGGAGGGAGACCCAGGCTGCACACGTGGCCCCCAGATCCTTGCTAGGAAGAATCTGGGCTTCATCCATAAAGTGTCAGGACCTCAAAGGGCTTTAAGTCAGGATGCAGCACTTGTCATTCAGAGACGTGCCATACATTAGGACATTAGGAGCATGTTACAGAACAGTCACAGGCAGAGCTGTGTTTTACGAGATCACACCTGCCGCAGGGAGACAGAGTACGAGGTGGAGTTCTGGGGGCTGCACACACATCCTTAGCCTGGCCTTGTCCACACTCAGCAGGAATCATTTGTGATTCTCAAACTTACATCTTAAGGAAATGGCCTACAGGCCCCAGCATTGTCTTAGATGCCTTGAAGTGTGGCTTTAATAAGAAGAGGCAAAAACCTGCAATAAAAATAGCTACGTGCTTTTAACTCAGCTATAAAATAAAACCAAGTTTATAATAAAATTATAAACTACAAACATAACAACCTTATTTAAGGGGACTGGGGATCTACTAAAATTCCATCAGTGATGTTGATGTTAGGTGGCTTAGTTCTGTAGTGCTGGATACCAGGTTATCCACCGTGTTGCAACCTGTGTTCTCTCTTGGGAACCGTGGGCTCCGTCTGGAAGCCGCCTGGCAAATGCGCCTGGCCCTGGGGTCTCACTGGCTAGGGCCATAGTCTCTCCTGAAGGCCACTTCCAAGCTCACCCCGTGGCCATGGGCAGGCCTGTTCCCCCGCACATGGCTGCCTGTGACCCGGCAGGTGGAATCTTCAAGAGGCCGAGAGAGCTTCCGTGGAGAGACGGGCACCACGGCACTTTGTAACTCGGGGAGGGAATGAGGTCTCCCGACTTCTGCCGTCCTCTGCTCACTGGAGCTAGTCCAGGCCCTGTCCACCCTCGACTGGAGGGTTCCACGCTGAGCGTGCATACGGGGTGGTCAGGGACAGGTGTTCAGGGCTGTCTCAGAGGCAGCCTTCCACAATGTGGAAAGAAGTATTTTTTGGATGATTTAGATAAAAAAGCCAAGCGCGCCCGACCTGGAGTCTGCCCAAGCTCTCCGCTGTTGCTGGTGTTTCTGTCGAGCTCTGCTCTTTATTTGGACTCCCGGATCTTGACTTTGATGACCCTCCTGCCAAGGTCATCTGTTTTCATGTTCGTGCACAAAGTCACACTTCAATAGGCAGGAATTCGTTTGCTGGTTTGGGAAGATCACCTTAAGTCCTGAACCCGCTGCCTGTCAGCAGGCAGCCTGAAAGGCCACTTGGTCACTGCAGAACCGGCGGGTCACCAGCAGGTGAGGAGAGCACTGGGCGCCCCGAGAGTGCTTCTTCTCTTGTGCTTGGTTGTGCTTTACTCCTGGCGCTCACCGCAGGGCAGGGTTCTGTGTGGGGCCTGGGCCTGAGCAGGCCCCTGCTGGGACTCCGCCCTCCGCATCAGGTAATTCACACTTGACTCACTGGTTCCACAACTGAGCTGGGGCGACCTGATCCTTCTGCTAGCAGCCTGTGTGGTTGTCACGGGTGCGAGTGTGTGCACTGTGTCGCATCACAGCTCTGTGCAGCCGGGAACTTCCGTCCATCTGTGGGGTCTCGGGGAGCTCGAGGGAGGCCCTGGCCGGTGTCTGAAGGCCTCGGAATCCGCGCTCTCTTCCACTGAGGATCGGCCAGAGAGAGTCAGCGGAACGCGCACTCAGGGCCTCCCAATCCCAGAGCATTTGCAGGGTGTCTTGAGGGCTAATGTGACTGGTGGCCTTGGCAGGGGCTGTAAGTGGCATTGCCAGGCCTGGACGCAGCTGCCCTGGAGAGGAGAGGAAGGGATGGCCAGGCCTCTCTCCTGCCGTTCTCCCCGGGTCTGGGGCCTAATCTCCGTTCCTATAAGGACTCCAGCATGATTGGGTTGGGCTCCACTGTAGTGACCCCGGTCAGGCCCTGTCTGCAGTCCAGGCATGTCCTGGGGTTAGGCCTCCTGCACAGGAATGGGTGGGGTGGAATGACAGCCCAGGACAGTTCCTGGGAGGAAATATGTGGAGGGGTGTTTTTCCTGGGGGGCTGCGGCCACAGGGGGGAAATGGGTGGCTTTCCTGGTGGCTGCAGAGCCTCCTGAGGTCATGCTTATGAAGTCCCTGATGTGCCCCAGGTGCTTGGTGGGGACAGCGCTGGCGGAACAGCATTGCTGTGGGTTTCTGTTGGGCTTTGTTGACCAGCTGCAGGAGGAGGGCCCAGCAGAACACACGTGGTTTGGCCCAAGGTGGACCCAAGTACAGACAGGGACAAAGTGTGAGATTCTTGAGTCTGGAGGGAAAGAGACGTGGACGTGGTCATGTGCTCTGGTCCAACCCCGACACCACCTCCCTACTGGACAGTTCTGATTGTTCCACGTGTTGTCCCGGGACAGCCCGTGTGCTTCCCAGCCAGACTGATTTGGGGCTCCATAAATGCAGGTTGAACCTGAATCCGGGAGAGGACCTGCCGAGGGCACAGTGCAAGTCCTCAAACCCCTTGGCCTGGATCCC